GTCACACACAATTTTGTTTCAAAGTTGTTTTTTTTTGGGAACACCCTTCCCACGACTTTAAGCATGGCACATTTTGCCATCGATGAGATACCCTCTGTTCTCATCCTTGGATCTTATGATCCCCCCCATCCTTCGTGGGGTACCACACACTTCAGTCCAAATGCTTCTATTAGTCCTTTACGACCATTCCTTGACTCTACTTGAGTCACCCAGCAGTTTTGGACTTGGTTAATCCATAAACCCGTAAGGTCCTACTTGTCGGGCACTAGCTCACTGGAATACACTTCTTGCATTCATGTCCTCACTCACAAGGACTATTTTCACAAGTGTTACTCTGACACTTGATTTTGTTCTCTGGGGCAACCTTTGCCCCTTTGAACTACTTGTCCATGTAATGAGAATACCAACTCATCTCTAAGTACACCCCTCAACTCCTTGGGTTTTTCTAGCATTTATTAAAGGTAGCCCCGGCTACCATTTCAAGGACTTGAGCCCTCTTCCGTATTTGACCTCCCATAGTAATTACTTCTGGTCTCACATTCATTAGCACCAACCTCGACTATATAAGGATAATCTTGTGACTCTTTTATTGCTTTGGAGTCTACATCTTTCCCATGATCCCAATTATAGTTGTTTACCACAACTATGTTAGCCCGTTTGTTGCGTCAAATGCTCATCTGGATCACATCCTCAACTCTCTAAGGAAACTTTATACTGTTCCCAAGATCCCAAAGTCGTTCTATTATTGGCCCTTTTCTATCCACCACATCGTGCCCAAGTTCACGCATGAACTTGAGTGGAGAGCCATGTCCTCTCGACATGCTACTCCTCAAGGATAGGCCCACTCCTAGGACCTTCCAATGCCAACATCAATGGTGATATACTTGAGGACCAATAAAAGTCAGACTAAGGAACAGCTCCGATACCAAGTTGTAAGCGACTAATTTTTCCATTCTACTTTAGTCACTTAACCACACCTTCGACCACTTGGAGGAGTCTCACTCACAACCTCCTTAAGTCCAATTCAAGACTTGGGACTTGCTAGCCCCGAGAATGGCATCCATGCCACTCATCCCTTGCTCTTAGTCCAGGTGCTCCACGTATCCGGTCCCAAGACCGACACCCCAAGGTACCACCGACATACTAGCCCGTTACGCTAAGGCCATGCCCCTTTACCTTGGTCATACCGATGGTCTAACACCACCTGCATCACAATCCCGTCTCTCAAGGACTGGACCATCCGTCCATGAATGATCATTCCAGATCTACTCCTTAGCATCCTTAGGATGCCCACAGACGTGGGGAATAGCCTTCCCCAATATCTCTTTTCTGGTCCCCACCAAGTCCCTTTCTGCCCATGGCCGTGTTCACCCACACTACCACTGGATTGAGGCCCACAGGCCCGACCACTAAGTCCCACAGTCCTCTGGGACTTCCTCACCACACGACTGTGTCCTTGGTCACTACTCCAGAGGACTGCTCCTCTTCCTTTCCACAGTCTGGGCCTTTGGGACAATATTTCGGAACACCGTGGCCTTACGCGAGCCACTTGGGTACTCTCCCCACCTATCGCCTTTAGGTGCTCTAGCCATGGGTTTAGAGCGAGGTTCCGTTGAGCCACGCCTGGTATCCAAGTAGGTAGTGCCACCCACACTTGGACTGGGAGCATCGGCCAGTCGATCCCCTGGGGGAACTAGAGCCGGCTCTTGAACACTTCACCAAGCTACCCCGCTTGTCGGTCCGTATTCACTCTAGTCTTGGACTTCCCAGTGGTCAGTTCATCACCCAACACTGGGTCTAGCCTTCCTGGGCCAAACTGGCCTTTCCTGGCCAAACTGGCTCCACTGCAGTCCTCCCCCTTACTATACTTTTGGAGCTCACCAAACCCCCCAGGGTCTGGGAGACGAATGCTTTGGGCTTTCACCCTCTCAGACTCGAACTCAGACTTGGACTCGGACTCGGACTCGGACTCGGACTCGGACTTGGACTCGGACTCGGACTCGGACTCGGGCTCGGTCTCGACCTCTATCTCAGTCTCGGTCTTGGTCCCGGTCTCGGTCTCGGTCTCGGTCTTGACCTCGGACTTCATCTCGGGTCCTTCTCAGACTCCATCTCGGATTCCATCTCGGGTCCATCTCGGACTCCGCCTCGGTCCATCTCGGACTCCATCTCGGACTCCGTCTCGGTCCATCTCGGACTCCATCTTGGACTCCACTTTGGACTCCACCTCGGACTCCATTCTCGGACTCCGTCTCGGTCCATCTCGGACTCCATCTCGGACTCCACCTCGGACTCCGTCTCAGTCCATCTCGGACTCCACCTCAGACTCCATCTCGGACTCCATCTCGGACTCCACCTCAGACTCCATTCTCGGACTCCGTCTCGGTCCATCTCGGACTCCACCTCAGACTCCACCTCGGACTCCGTCTCGGACTCCACCTCAGACTCCACCTCGGACTCTTCCACATGTTATGTGTTGGTCCTTTTTGGGTCCCTTTTTGGAGCCTCGCTTATTGCTCGCTTCGTGCTTGTTCCTCGAGCACTTTGTTGGGAGTTCCACTCCCGCTCTCGACCTTTCAAGTCGGAGCTTTTAGTCCAAACGTGTTGCGCTCGTTTGGCTTTCACTTCGGCCACTACCATGTGGCACCCTTTCCAGCTCCACTTTGGGGCCTAGGGATTTTGTGTCTCACATTAGCTTACCTTCGGCGCACCTTCGGATCCCAACATATGCCATTGCTCAACTTCGCAAATTGATACTTTAATTGAACTTTACATAAGTATATAGAGTTCTGCCTTGTAGAAATTCCTCCACTAGATCTCGCGCGTTCGCTAGGTTCTCTGGTTCCTATGTTGCTTCGCAATGTGGAAATCCTTTCCACTTCACATGGAACTCTCTCACCTCGCATTCTTATCGCTTGCTCTTGTGCGCATTGAGGATGACCTCGACTTTGTATTCCTCTTCCCTTTGGATAACCTCAGGTAAAGGTCTTACTTAGTCCTTGCGAAGCGGATCCTCAAAGTATGGCTTGAGTAAGTTCACGTGGAACACTAGGTGCATCTTCCCTATCTCTTGAGGAAGTTGGAGACGGTAAGCCACTTTACCAATTCGTGCCTCAATCTTGTAAGGCCCCGCAAACCTGCTTAAGGAACTCAAGATCAATTCATTTACAGGAATACATGCATTTTTACCTTTGGGTCAACTTTCGGCTGATCCCACTTGGTAGCCTGAGGTTCTAGGTATTCAGCCACACCTTGTCCCCAACGTAGAACTCTACATCCCGATGCTTCTGGTTCGCGTACTTGGTTTGCCTTTGTTAAGCCCATTCCAAGGAATTCCTCACTAGATTCCAAATGTTGAGTCTTTCCGCCGTGAATGCCTCCACTGCAGGTAACTCTCCATGATACTCAACCACACCGAGTTCCACAAAACCTTCAATAGCTCGCCCATTGATGACTTCCCATGGACTCACCCTAATACTCGAATGTGGTGAGTTGTTATAACACATTTCTGCAAGTCCCAAATGACTTAACCAATCGGTCTGGTCTCTTGAGACATAGCATCGCAAATAATCCTCCAACTGCCTATTCACCCTTTCCGTTTGTCCGTCTGTCAAGAAGTGTTAGTGCTATCAAACTTGATTTAATACCCAATACCTGTTTGTGGGTGATAGGCTGTGCTGAATTTCAACTTGGTGCGATACTTTTCTAAGAGAGTTCTCCAGAACCTACTAGTGAAGATCTTATCTTGATCTGAGATAATTTCTTTTGGCCTTCCCCACACTCCATGATGAAGTCCATCGTAAGACATTTCCACGGACAATCTGGAATTGGGATGCTTTGTAACAAGCCCCCACTCGCCTTAATCATGGCTTTGACTTGTTGACATGTTGGGCATGTCTTTATATAGTCTTGGACGTCTTTAGCCATATCTGGTCAGTGATACTTCCTCTTGAGTAAACCCATCATCTTGGGCATTCTACTGTGCCCCACAAGAGGTCCATCATGACACTCTTCTAAGGCTACCTTCCTTAGTTCCCCTTTTGGAACATACACCCTCGTTTGTTTGTAATAGATGAGTCCATTGCGTTTCGCATAACCCGTTTTTTCCTCCGTTGGCAGCTCACCTCTCTGGTGAGCTTCCCATGCCGCTATATTCCTCAGCAACACTTCTTGTGCTAGACCATCGTTCTCATATGCTGTCCATACATCGTCCTAAAAGGTTGCTGTCGTGTTGGATATCGCCAACTTCAAGCTCACTCTTCAACTTAGCATATCTGCCACAATGTTGCTCTTCCCAGGTTTGGACAGAATCTCGCAATCAAACTCAGCCAAAGCATTGGCCCACCGACCCTGTTTCCCTCTCAAGTCGGGCTGTGACAAAAAGTGTTTCATTGCCACATTGTTCGTGTAAACCTTGAAGTGTCTCCCAAGGTAGTGTCACCACTCCTTGAACATTTTGACTACCGCAAACAATTCCTTTTCGTGGGTAAGCCACTTCTGTTGAGCCTTGTTCAACTTTTTCGAGAAGAATGCTATTGGATGGTTATCTTGCTTCAAAATTGTGCCCAATGCAAAGTCTGAAGTCTATTATCTATTTCTACCTCAACGTCCTTACCAAAGTTTAGTAATGGCAACACAGGAGTGTTAAATAATAATATTAATTCTGTGTTGTAAGCTATTCAAGATCTTGGTGCAATGAAGGAGTTCTAGGAGAGGTTTGAGGTAGCAGTTTTGAAAATGGGTGATTGCAGTTTGTCTTGTATAATGAATGATGTTATAATGTCATTATATCTCACTGTGGTGAATTTTCTATGAAAATCAATTTGAATTTACACATGACATAAGTCATAAACTGAGCTGTCATACCCCATGTATACATTGTATAACCAGCACAAAAATATTATACACACAAGCAATTTAAATGTGATTGTATGCATAATATTTTTCATACAACTCAACAAAAAAAGTATGAGTCCAATAATGTGAATAGATGCTAAAGATTTAAAAACAACACATATATACATTAGTAAAATCAACTTTTGTTGGTAAATATTAGAAGGCCATTAAAAGATTTTAAAAGATGATAAAAGAATCATACCCAAAAATCAATAGCTACCTCAGGTTCAAGTTTGGAACGATACTGCGTGACCTCATAAATTCTAGTAGTTGCGTTGGCAGCTCTGCAAGCATGGTTCGCCTCAGGTTCGTTTTATCTGTTAGAGCGTAAGGATTACATTGACAGATAATAAAAACTCTATTTTTGAGCTAACTTACTTCCCATGTCGCGAAGCGGAACAAACTGCACAATATCTCTTTCTGCAAGTCGACCGTCTGAGGACTGCAGCTTCCGCTTGTCCGCATCTAAAACCTGCTTGATCGTCACAGCCACGTCATTCCCAGAAGGACAATAGTTTTACCTCCATCTCTGTAAAATCTGCCCCTCCTACGCCAACAATCAGAATCGAGAGTGGCAGTGAGGCTGCATTAACAATCGCATTGATGGTTTGATGTAGATCAGTAATCACTCCGTCCTATTTATAAAGATTAGTGCTCAACCAGGAAGATTTCGGTTGTATTTTACCGTGATGATTAGGAGCACGAAGTACTTTTGCTTCTCTTGTGAAATATACTCCGACGCTATCGACGATGCCATGTTTACCACCGGAGCGAACAACGTTGGACCCGCAAGAGCCACGCTTTTTAGAGCTTGTGAATAGGCACGAAGAATTCCATCGACGCCATCTACCTGTGTCAGAATGTGAGCCCGCTTGTCAGCACGTACAACGACTCCTACCTCAGCGCTGTGTCCATTTAGATTGAAACAGTGAGAAACTGGACTGTTCATCGGCTTGCCACCAAACCCCCAAGCAGCAAAAAGCTTATCGTAATCGTAGTGATACAAAACTTCACCCACGGATTCAATAGCCTGCCAGTTTTCAAACATGATTTCACTGTATCTGATCATGGATTGCTAGCTTACAATCTCGTAAGAGTTCGGTTTTCCGGAAGGGTCCAGGTAATGCAACGAGTCCTGCTGATGAGGATTGCCATTAGAAGCTGCCGGAAAGCCAAACATTCAAATCACAATACGGCAGGGAAATAGAATCATCCGAACCTGTAAAGTCGACTGCGACCATGAAACTCAGCTGGCAACCCCCACGTAGGTAGTCCAGAAAACTGTGGCCAGACGAGATCCTGCATCCCTCTACGTGAAGCTTTCCACCTGCCTGTGAAGAAAATTGAAATGCCTCAAGTCCAGAACATGCGAAAACGAAATAAGGTCCTAAAGGTGTGCAGTGAGCAACACGTTTAGAAAATCGACTGTATTGAATAGAACCTGATTATCCGAAGGCCGCTTCAGTTCAAACGAAACGGTACCACCAGCTGAAGCTTGAAGTTCGTTAAGCGACACCTGCGTAGATCTATATGGAATTTTAAACACCACCACTAGGTAGATACACTGCAAAATTAAATGGCTTACCCAATGAGGTCATGCCGACCATTTCCGTTATAATTGAAGCATTCAACTACCAATGGCCGATCCTGCAAAATATCTGTTGTTTAGTTTACCTGGTCGAGATTCATAATTACCATGTTCCCATTATTCAGTTGCTGCAGCGTAGTTCTGACCAGCTTCCATGTCGGATGGAGATTGTTTTTCTTGACCTCAGATTTATAAACAGGAACACTGCTTCCGTCCTCCCTTAGTCTTGAAAGCCTAAGAAAAGGATCCTGCAATTTACAATACTGTGAGACAATGAGCGAGTAAGATATCGACTTACACTCTTGGAGAAGAAGTCTTTGTTATTTAGATCCGAGCATCGTAGAACAAGTTCCACAATTGACTTTGAGTGCTGCATCTCTTCTGCTTTGATGGTAAGCGTTCCCATGCTCTTCACTCCAGTTTTATCTGTTCCACCATCCACCTTGTCTTGTAATAATCTGCTGAAAGATTGTCCAGGGGCAGCTACGACCTGTCGAAAGAATTTATCATTTAGTTGCATATATCTCCAATCACATTCTTACTTCTGCCAGTAGACATGTCATCTCTCCCAAAAAATCTTGCTCCTCAAGAGGAAGTTCCTGAAAAACATGGTATACCACAGTGTTTGGAATAGCTTTTAGAATTACCTGTGGATTTACTCCAGCATACTTTGTATCAATGTCATAAACTCGAAACCTGGACAAACATGTCAATCCTTGAAACAAAACGAATTGGTTTTCTTACAGTAGCTGCTGAATGTCTTGAAAACTGTATGAGACCTTTATGTCTGTCACCCACGACGGATTCAAAGTGTTTGATACAACTTCCGTTCGTCCTACTTCTTCCAGCACCCCGTCTTTCCTTATGAAAGCAACAGCCAGAGGATCACTCTAAAAATCAAAGAACAAGAAAGTTCTTAGTGGTGAAAAAATCCCTGTCAAATACCTTTGAAAGAAAATCTTTGTCTCGCAGCTTTGAAGCCGAGATCCACAACTGTAAACATAAAAGCAGCACAACGATCAATATGCAAAGAAGGAATGCATAAACAAAAAACTTGCTACTTGAACCTGTACATCCGCTGGTACACCCCGCGTTCCAGAAAGGAAGTCAGAAGGAACAGCAGTCTCCGTGTCTTTGTCTAGATTCAACACGTCCATTCCACCCACGGCGTCCATACCTCCACTCATATCCGAGCAACATGATCCCATCCTCAACAACTCAACTCGTGCATTCCACTACTAAACTCTCATATCTGTCATTGCAAGAGGAACCATAAAGAAATCCAGTCAAAACCAACCACAGACTAAAGCATGAGAATAAAAAAAATAAAATCCCTTGTCTCGTCATACAAAGCATGCAAATTGCAAACGTCCCCATCCCCCACTGTAAGAGCGAAAAAAAGAAAAAAAAAACTATACGGAAAAGCTCTTTCCAGATGCTACTGATGAACGAATTTCGTGATCTCACGATCAATGCGCCCCGGCTGGATCTTGAGAGGGCGATATTTCCACAGCGCGCCTCCCGAGAAGCCACGAATTCCACTCCAAATAACAAAATCCCCCCGCCCCCCCCCCCCCAAACAGAGCCGCCTCACTCACCTCATGGATCGAGCGATGCCGAATCCAGCTTCATAGCCCGCTGCTCCTCGCTGCGAATGCCCTAACTCCACTCGCCGCTGCGCATTCGCTCGCCCTGGCCGCGCATCGACGCATTCAAAGCCGAGGAGAGGGAGGGATTAGAAATGGACGACTCGATATGAACCTAGTCTTTTACTAAAACCCAGTGTCTCGTGAATTCGCATATTCCACCAGCAGGAATATCCGTTTAACGGTGGAAGAACATTCCGCCAGGCATAAACGCCGGTTAAACCCAGGATTAAAAGCTAAGATTGGTGCCGATCTGCTTGGCTGGAAAGTTCGAGAAAACTGTGACATCGAACTGTTAGAATGGACATAAGATCTGGCAGAGGTTCTTTTCCATCACATCGCCTCAGTGCAAACATGTAAGATTCTCACAAACTTGTACTCTAAATTCTCTGTTGTCCAATGGAGTTGTGCAGTGCCCGATTTCCAGGCGGTGACGCATAAATTGTTGGAAAAACGTTAGTATTCTGAGTGGTTTTAACCACAGAACTTGATGTAAGCTCGGTTGATCTTAGGGGTGGCACATTTGTTAAAAGATCACACAAGTTGAGCTCAACGAGAACAGAAATTACTTGCAATTTGGATGCAAGCAAACATGGTTATACATTATCCCAAGTGACTTTCATTTTCTTTCTTCTTCTTCTTCTGATAGTTGTTTTGTCTTTGCTGCATGAACCAATGTAAATTTGCATCTCTGTATGGAGAAGCAAATATACATTGGTTCATGCAAGAGACAGAGTAGATAATACAAAATCAGCGTGACAACGTTAAGAACGTCGTTTACTCTTTGAAAAATAGAAGTACGGGAGGAAAAAGCAAACAAATTTTGTATCTGCTTACATTTGTCTAAAAAATCTGATTGCTTTTGTTCATATCTCCCGTTCTTACAGTTTTCAAGTAAAAGAGAAAATCAGTGACTGAAAACCATAGGCCAAACCTTATGGATTGATCCATCGTTGCTCCTGCGAATACCCTAACTCCCCTCGCCGCTAACGCATTCCTACTAGTTAGAAATGGACTCGTGAATTCGCATATTCCACCAGCGGCGCAGGAATATCCCCTTCCCGGCTACCACATTTTCACTCCCACACACACACCACACCATTTCTATCGGCCGAGGCCAGTGACTTACTGGCTGGGCTCCAAGCACACGCCACCACCGCGCTCCCATGCCCGCCTTTGAGCACGCTCTCCACCTCCCAGGAGCGGCGATTCCAGATACAAACGCTTCCATCGCCGGAGCCCGCCGCCACATAGTTCTCGTCCCGGCTCAAGCACGATCGGCTCAAGCTCGTCGCCACCGTGTAGCCCGGCCCCCTGAAAGTCGCCTTGAGCTCCAAGCTCCTCACGTCGAAGAGCTTGAGGACGTTGTCCTTGCCGCTGGTGAGCACCGTCAAGCCACTCCGGGACAGCGACACCGAAGTTATGGCCTGTGGCTCGTGAGCCGTGAGCTCCTTGGCCAGCTTCCCTGTTCGGGTGTCCCAGAAGCGCAAGATCCCGTCCGTGTGGCCGGAGCAAATCGCTGAGCCGTCGGAGGAGATGCAGAGAGAGTTGCAGTTGCTGTGGAAGATCATCGTGTGGAGGCTGTAGCCCGTTTGGAGGTCCCAAGTCTTGATGGTCCTGTCCGAGGCCGTGCTCGCGGCTCTCGCGTTGCTGATGTCCACGGAGGTGACTTTCTCGGTGTGGCCTGTGAGGACGTGCTTCACTCGGCCGGAGCGGGAGTCCCAGAGGTAGAGCTTGTGATCGCTGCAGCCGCCGAGAACCATGTTGTTCTCCGGGGTGAGTGCCAAGTCCAGTAGTGAGCCGAGAGCGCCGGTGAGAGTTTTCGTGGGAGTTCCTCCGCGCTGAGTGTCCCAGAACTTTACGATGCCGTCGTGCCCGGCTGTGAGGAGGGTGTCGCTGCTGTGCTCGAAGATGATGGCGGCGCAGCCTCCCTTGTCGTGAGCACGAAGTGTGTGGCGGACTTTGCTCGGCGCGCCCAGCGTCATGTAGCTCTCGGCGCCAGCTTCCGAGTGCCTTACAATGCCGTCGACTTGGAGCTTCGCTAGCTCGGCAAGGCTGTTGATCTTGCAGCGTTCCATCATGTCAGCATACATGGCGTTAGCCTTGAAGCAAAATGAAAGAAGCAAGTTAGCAAAAGCTGGAAGAAAAACGCAAGTTCATACCTCATTAAGTCGATCAGCGTCTTGCATTTTCTGCGTCATCCAGCGATCAACGAGCATATTGTTCTCAGCCTCTATGGCTTGGAGGCTCGATTCGAGCTCTTTCACTCGGAGCTTTAGCTGTGTGAGCTCCTCGACGAGCACAAGAACAGCGTTCTCCTTTGCTTCAAAGTCCTTCTCCAATTGGCTTATACGCGCCCTGCCATGTCCTGTAGGATGTTAAAACTCATGTCAAGCTTTTGTGGAGCGAATGGATGGAGATAGCAAGAGCTACATAAGAAATGATCGATTCAAGAGTGACCAAGTACCTCGCGGAGCTTAGCTCGTGTTGGATCTCCAAAACAAGCGCGTCCTTCTCGGCCAGTTGCGCTCGTAGAGCTTGCGCCGTTTGCATCTCTACGACGAGCTGCTCCGACACATGAGCCTGGGTTTTGTAGCTCTGGGACAACTCCTGCTGAAGAGATTCCATCTTCTCCTGGATCTCCGTGCCCTGAATTTCAATGCCGCGCCCTCTTGAGCTAAGATGCCACAGAAACAATCGCGAAATCGAACCTGATTCGTGAGCGCCCGATCGAGCGCCGCGACCAGCGATCCATGAGCTCCTTCCTCGACGGCCTTGCGTCGCCGCAGGGCAACGCATGCTTGAGCAATGGCGGCGGCAGCTCTCTCCTCGGGCACCGGCATCCCGCGAAGGCGAAACCCTAGAACACGAAACGCATATTCTTCTCTAAACGGAATGTGCGGTTCTAAAGCAGAATATGTGATCATTAAACGGCATATGTTCTCACATTCTTAGGGCTAACTACGCTCTCACTCGCATTGGGCGAGGTCATGGCGGCGGCCCGGCGCTCTCTTTTCAATCGGATTCTTGGAGCGCGCGCGACACTACTGGCTCAAGATGGCCAAGCTGCGAGCAAGGTTTGTGGTGTAATCCCAGTGGCGGGCAATGGCAGTGGATCTGATGCAATGCGATCTTTTTGGGGATTTCCAGACTGCTGGGGTTTTAGCAGCGTCATCCAAGCTCCAAGACGAAGAACGGGGGCATAATCTCCGCAATGGCCTCGCGCTCTTGGGAGCCGCGGCAACGAGCGTGTTTGCTGCTGCTGGCTACGTCTATGCCGATGAGGCGGATCATGGCTTGCCCCCGCCATCATACAAGTGGCCTTACAATGGGATTTTCGAGGCACAGGATCACGCATCGTAAGTTCTTTCTTTTTTTTAATCTCAAGATTTGCTCACCTTTTTCTTTCCTACATTTTTTGATAGGATCCGTCGCGGGCATCAAGTCTATGCCCAAGTCTGTGCTGCGTGCCACAGCATGCAATACATCTCATACCGCCATCTTATCGGTGTGGCTTACACGGAGGAGGAGGTGAAGGCTATGTCGGCCGAGATTGAGGTGACTGATGGGCCCAACGATGAGGGGGAGATGTTCACTCGCCCCGGCAGACCCAACGATTTCCTGCCAGCTCCATATCCGAATGAGCAAGCTGCTCGAGCAGCGAATGGAGGAGCGTATCCTCCAGACTTGAGCTTGATGACGAAGGTACACGCTAGACGCTTTCTTTGTTTCTTTCTTCAAGTTTTGCGCGTTTCTTCTTGCAGGCCAGGTTCAGTGGTGATGACTACGTTTTCTCTTTGCTCACTGGCTATCGCGAGCCTCCCGCTGGAGTCAAGGTAAGCTAGATTTTTTTTCCGGAATGAAGCTTTTTTCTTTCTTTACCTTTTGATAGATCAGAGACGGACTTCACTACAATCCATACTTCCCCGGGGGTGCCATTGCAATGCCACAGATTTTGATGGATGGGGCTGTTGAGTACGAGGACGGGACTCCCGCGACTGCATCTCAGGTTTCTATGATCTCTGCGAAAAATCTTGGCTAACTTTCTCTTGCTCGTATCTATCAGATGGCCAAAGATGTGGTTTGCTTCCTCGCCTGGGCAGCAGAGCCAGAGATGGACGAACGCAAACTGGTGAGTGAATCTTTCACTCTTCTCGTTCTTCGATCTTAAGTCACTGATGGTGCTCTCTTGGCTTTGGTTTTCTAGAGTGGATCCAAGTGGTTGTTCGCTATAGTCCTAATGTTCTTCGGAATTACCTACACCAAGAGATGGAGGTTCGCTCCCATGAAGGCGCGGAGACTCGTGTTCGATGTCGTGAACTAAACGAAGAAACCGAACTGGATGGAAAAAATTTTGTTTTGTAAAACGTTTTGATGGAATAATGTGAAATAATCTCCCCCTTTCGTGCCCTAATTCTGGAAGTCTCGGTCTAAAGGGAGCGAGGCGCAATCTGCGTGGAGGACACCAGTCTCTCGGCAAGCTCCGCGAGCCAATGGCCTCCCATGGCCGTTTCTAGGGCGAGTGTTTGAGGTATGGCCACTGCCGAGCGCCGGAAGAACCCTAGCTTAGATCCATAGATTCTTGGATGGAGCATTCTCTCGCTATACAATTCGCGCATTTGCATCGTCGCTGGAGCCAGGAATTTCTTCGAGCACTTCTCGAAATATTTCGCTCCAGATAATCCTCTCTCTTGCTTCTCAGATCATGGACGACGATTCCTGCGCTACGCCGATCCCCCAGGATCATCTCCACGACGCGATGGAGGGCGCCGAGGTCGCGCTGCGATCCACGCGCGCCTCGCGCTGGCTCAAGGACGAGACCATCACGCTCGTCCAGGCCAAGCGCGTCTACGAGCAGGAGGTGGCCGAGGCGGCGAGCCGCGGCCAGATCGTCAACAAGGAGCAGAAGTGGAAGAGGATCTCCAAGAAATGCGAGGACGCTGGAGTGGTCCGCGACGCATCGCAGTGCCGCAAGCGCTGGCAGAACATCGTCCGAGACTACAAGAGAGTCAAGGATTGGCAGAACAGGAACTCGCGGCAATCCTACTGGCTCATGTCCGTGGAGGAGAAGCGCGAGAACAAGCTCATCGTTCCTCCGGTTTTCGACAAGGATATCTTCGAGGAGCTGGATCACTTCCTCGCCAACAGGCCTGGAGTGCCTCCCACGGTGTATGATTCGGAGAGGATCGTCCACCAGCAGCACCATCACTTCAAGCGGCAGCCGCAGGTGGACGATGGCGCTCACGATCACGCCGCTGCCGCGTTCTTGCAGGCCGGGGATTTGTGTCCTCCATTGCTCCAGATCCCAAACGGTGAGCTCAAGTTCTTCTCTTGGTTTGATTCGTGATTGATCGCGAACTTGTAGCTCCATCGTCCAACGACGAGCAGGGGATTTCTTCGTCCGGGAAGAGGAAGCGGCCCAAGCCGGCGCCGGCGGAGGATAGCATGGACAGGCTCGAGGCGATCTTGGAGAAGAACACCAAGATCGTGATCCAGATGCAAGAGAGGATGTGCGAGAAGCACGAATCACACCTCGAGGCCATGGTTCACGCCATTCAAGAGATGACCTCCTCCTTGAACAAGATGATTGACAAGCTCTAAGGTTTTTTAAAAATCTAATTTTAGCATATTCAGTTTTTCGAATAGAATATTCTTTAAGGTATGAGGTTATTTTTAGCATATTCGCTTTATTTGTTGAGAAATATTCCCATAGAGTTTAGGTAATGTCGTGTTTGCTTAGAAATGTAGTGGCCAGAGGATTGAGGAGCTTGGCAAGCGCCCAGGCGATGGAGCCATCCATTTCAAAGCGCTTGTGGCAGCAATCCAAGCGCGAGGCAATGGTATGTCTGTATCATCCATTTGTGGTGTCCATCGCTGCTGGGACGCTGGATCTTCACAGCTTCCAGCGATTCATAGCGCAGGATTCCTTCTTCCTGACGGCATTCGCGAAAGCGTAAGCTCAATCGACAGAATTTTCCTGTTGTTCTTCACATTTTTCTTTTAGCTATGGTTTGGCCATAGAGCGCAGCGATGATCGAGAAGTTAAATCTGAGATTTGCAAGCTCCAACAGGCTGTGTACGAGGAACTTGAGCTCCATTCTTCCCTCATGAAGGTCTCTTCCAAAGCTTTTCTTTTCTTTTCTGTTTTTTTTCGTCTTTTGATTTGTAAGAATTTGCCTTCTTGCAGGCTTGGAACTTCGATCATACACCACCATCGCCAGCAACTTGTGCTTACACAGATTTTCTCCTCGCAGTGGCTGCTGGGAAGAAAATTGAATGCGAGAAAACTAAGGTGCCGATGCTCGCTCTGGCAGCAATGGCTCCGTGCATGCGTCTCTACGCTTTCCTAGGCCAAGAGACGAGAGTTTTCTCTCGAGAAAATCATCCATATCGCGACTGGATTTCGACTTACTCGTCGCCTGGTTTCGAGGTAAAATCAGTTTGTTCTTGGATGTTTATGTTTGAATCTAGTTCTGAGCTAGCTTGTCTTGGCAGACTGCTGCTACTCGACTCGAGCAGCTTCTCGATAGCCTCTCGGAAGCTCAAGAGACTACGGCAGCGGAATTTCAGAGTATGCAAAGTTTGTATCACCGTGCCATAGCGTACGAGGTGAGCTTCTTCGATGCCCAGGAAGTGCGTGGCAGCAACGCTTTTGTCCCGCTGCTAGAGAGTGTAGCACTCAAGGATCGCAACTTCGTCCTCATCTCTGATTTTGATTCTACTTGCACCGTCTCTGATTCATCCCCAGTTCTAGCGGAGCTGGCTATGGCGGTCGATCCAAATGTAAGGAGGAAATGGAGCAGCCTCTCGGACGAGTATTTCAGGGACTACTCCAAACTCCTGGAAGAAGTTGTTCTTCGTGGTGGTCGCGAGAAAAATGGTAGACTTTGTTTCGTAAATGTTAAAAAGAACTGACCATATTGTTTTTCTTTGTGTGAAGAGTACGACTACGATGCGATCAAAGAGGCTCTCCAAGTTCTTTCCGAGTTTGAGAAGCAAGGGAACGCGAAAATCGACGCCTCCCGCGTTTTGCAAGGCATTAAGATCGATGATATCAAGCAAGCCGGACAAAACATGGCACTTCAAGCTGGCTGTGCCAGTGTGCTTTGCAGGCTAAGTTCCAAAATCTCTTGTCAAATCCTCTCGGTTTGCTGGAGCCGGACCTTCATCGAAGCAGCTTTCTCCAAAGGTGAAACGAGTTTTGTTCCTTTTCGTTGTTCTTACTCTTGCAATGCCAGAGAATATCACCAATGTTCCTGTCCATTCCAACGAACTCGAAAACGATGGGAACTTTACAACCGGGAGCTTGATCAGACGCGTCGAGACACCGATTGACAAGGAAGAGACGATGTTTCGTGAGATTCTACACGCTCCGGACGACAAGTTTGTGATTTTCATTGGAGACAGCCTCACGGATCTGCTAGCCTTGCTCCGAGCTGACATTGGAATTGTTCTAGGAACGAGCTCCAGCCTCGATCGAGCCTCCAAAGCCTTTGGAGTGAAGATCGTGCCACTCTTTTCCGGCCTCGTCCAGCGGCAGCAAAGCTCTCGATCAGCGTGGAGAAAAGAGGAAGGAGTTTTGTATCGAGCTTCTGGATGGCTGGAGATAGAAGCGTTTCTAGCTGGTAATTAGCTTAAACTTATCCGCTAAACATCGATTTGATACTGCTGGGCTAGTGGTAGAATAGTTCCCTGCCACGGAACAGACCCGGGTTCGATTCCCGGGCAGTGCATTTCCCGATATTTTCATTTGTCACTGTTAAAATATCTGGCATCACATAAATATCCCAGAGTACTCCACGTGGCCCGCGCTTTTTCGCGATATTTTTCGTCCACCGCTTGCCACGTGGTTGTCTAGCCCTATGGCGGCGGTATATTCCTCGGTGCCTACTTCTCATAGGCCGATAAGCTTTGCTTTCATTCCTGGTAGCTTCACCACCGCCTTGGCTCCATGCTACCCTTGCGTTTTGTGATTGTCTGGATCGGATGAGCGTGATGCTTGGCGGATCTTGAGGAGATCGATCGGCGTTGCGCTTGCTAGGGCTTTGGATTGGAGCTGCTGGAGGTGAGCTTTCTTGCGAATCTTGGCCGAAATATCTCCTCTGCGCTCGGAGACGATGATTGGGAGTAAGAACATCGCCGTCGCCAATGCCACAATCCACCACAGATTGCCGCCGAATGCAGCTCAATCGTGGGAGCACGACAGGGAATCTTGCGGCGAGTCGAGATTGCGGAGCAGGGCTTCGTCGTCGCCATCGTCGACGCTAACATCCGAGACCTCTAATCAATCCAAGAACTACTCTGGCGATGACACGGTATGGATGAAATATCTCTTGCTTGCTTCTTTTCTGGAAATTCGAGCGATTTCGCTTGTGATTCTGGCAGAAGGAGGAAGAATCCATGGACACGGCCTGGACGGATGACAGGCACTCCTCGTATCTAAGCAGCATGGAAGAGATGTTTGTGAGAAATATGTATGACCGGGAGTACTGTGCTGTGGATATCTGTGGCGAGGCTGCCTCTTCGTGTGATCAAGACTGTGTGGAATCGAGGCCTCTTAGCTTCTTCAAGGTTGGTTCTTCGTTTATAAACTTTTCAAGCTCTCAATTCAGTTTGCTCTTCGTTTTTTTGTTCACAGGTGATGCAAGGTGGTGGATGGCAACCATTGCCGTGTCGAAGGCTCCACTCTTGGGAGCTTCCATCTCCAAACATATTTTCCAGCCCCTGGGTGCGGCACTTTACATCATCCAAGTCGGGTGCTGTGGACGATCAGACTGATCCAACTGCCGCTACTCCTCCCAAGGCCAAGGAGAGACTGATTTGCAGAACTTCCACTGCCTACGAGCTCGAGGACGACGTTCCAGAGGTTCCCGACGTTGAGAACCGGGCATCGGTGTGGCTGGAGAGGATAAGCAAGCGCTCAACAGTGTCGTCCACTGGGAATTCCACGGCTGACACAGGTCACTCTCCCAAAACCACCAGAGAAGTAAACAAGAGGAGAGAAAAAAAATAGCTCATTTGTTGATTTTCAACTCTGATCTGATGTTCTCGTGGCTTGGTGGATCAGATAAGCGCTCAGCTAGAGATGCAAACTCCGATTCTACAAAGTCCGCCTCTCAACAAAAACACCACCCTCGAGTTTCAATGATCGAAACGATAGATCAAGTGAGTCTTTTCTTTCTCTTTGTTTCGCGGGGAGATTCATACACAGTGTTGCTATCATCAGGTGGTGCCTTTAAGAAGTGATAGTGATGCCGAGGGAGAAGAACGGAGCTGCAAACTCCGCAAGATTGTTTCGAGCAGCAGCAGTAGCGATCGAAGCGATCGAATTTACAGCGCTAGAAGAAGGCGAAGGTCGTGAAAGAAACTCGCAAAGAGCGTGTAATTTCCAAGTCCTCCATTCTTTTTTCTAGAAATCTATCCTATATCCATCTCTTTATCGAGTTCTCGTGGTCAGTGTTTCAGACTTTTTGTTTGGCTCAGGAAAAAAAAGCTGCCATTGCGACCGTGTATGGTATTAATGTCGACGTGGACAGTTACTAAAAAATACCCGTTAAGATGCTAGCATATTCCTTTATGTTAGGGCAGTAAAGAGGTTTTGGTTTTCCTCCTGGGCGGGAAGATCTATCTCAGGGTATGGCGACGCGCGTGGCTCCTCGATTCAATCCGCAAGACGAGAATGCGGCTCCGATGAGCGGTAAGATCTCTTCCTTTTCATCTCGCTTTCGCCGACTGTTGCGTTGCCGGCAGGGAAATCCGTGATTCCTCCAGCTACGATCCAGCGGCCGAAGCTGTCGAACATCACAAACAAGCAGCAGCTCCCATCCGCGACGCCCAAGCCTAAGATCGCTCCTCTGGGCAACAAGATCGATGCTGGGAGAACGCCTCTCAGGAATATTTCCAATGTGCGAGCAAAAATTGGAGGTAAGCGATGTTGGAATTCTAGCCTTTGAATTCTCTTTCTCTGGTCAGGGGCGGCGGCGGCTCCTCAGGAGAGCAAGGCGGACGAGTGGGCGAAACAGGGAATCGAGAGGGTGCATTTCACCGGGGATGATATGGAAGCTCTCCGGCAAAAGCTTGAACACCAAGGTGTGTTAACGTTTTAAGGAGGAATTTGTGTCCTGTTTTAATGCTGTGCTGCTTGTAGAAATGGAGAAACGAGTCAAGGCTGTGCTCTCCTTCCGGACAGAAATCTTTCCGGTGTGGCCTCGGCCTGCTCCAAAAGCTGATGTAAAGTTGTCTCGTTACTTTGCTACCCTCTTCTTACACCGTTGTGGTTGCAGGGGCCTTTCGACTGCGATGGAAAACTCAAGCTGGATACGTACGAAGAAGTTTCCGACGTAGTTTTTGGTAAGAGTGTGGTTAGTTGGTGCTTCAGGAAGTTTGATTTTCCGGGTTTTTGCAGCCGATATAGAAGAAAAGGATGTCGAAAACTCAGAGACCGGATTCGAGGCAATATTTGTGGTTCGATGACATCACTATGCATATGCTAATGTTTCCGGTGTAGGGTCTTTGAGTTCTTGCGCATGTCGTCATACAAGGTAGAATTTCCATTCACTTTACTCGGTCCTGTTTGATATTTGTGCTTGCTGATGAATGCAGGTGACTGCAGCAGTTTAGATTCTTTTTATTTGAGCCGGTAAAGTGAGATTCTAGGCGGGCCTTATGTGTCTATGGTTCTTTCCGTGATTAAGCGAATGCTCTTCTCTTTCCGTCTCCAAAAGCTTTACGTGACTCGTGGCTTTTTGTGGGTATATCCTTCCTGACTTTGTCTTTGTCAAGTCGACTGGTTAGTAGTTTACTATTCGTTGTCTATGTGGTTTTGTTCTTTTCTTTTTTCTACTTTTTTTTTAACCTTTTTATTTTCGTCCTTCCTTTTTTGAAATGAGCTGAAAGGCGCAGATTGATGAGTCGCTTTGGTTGATCATGGGAGTTTTTTCATGTCTAAGGCTGATATGGTTGTTGTTTATAGCATACCAGACATCTGTCTGCAGCTCTCAGAAATTCTCGCCACAGTACTTCGAAGTATCTTCAGTGCTGACCCCTGGCCACTCTGAATTCGAGCAGCACGCTACTGAATTCTGGACTTACGATCGAGCTTCTGGCGCTTGGTTGAAAGTGGATATCAGTAAGTTTACTAGAAAGAATCCAAGGGACAACAACGGAGAAATCAAGGGGGCAGCAACAGATACGGAGACTGAGTTTATTCATCCTTACAGTGGAAGGGTCTCCCTGATAAAATTTACTGAAGTATCTCTCTGGAGCAGTGGCCACAGCGGGTCTATTTACGAGAGGCTATGGAATGGAGTCCAGTGGGTGATCATTCCACATGATTTACCGGACTCAGCAGGGTATGGAACTGGCGTTTACTCTGTCAACCGAACTATGCTAACTCTCTCCGATTCTGGAAGATTGTACCAGGTTTGATCGTGTCCTACGCTTTTTATCATTACTATGTTCTAAGAGTTTGTTCGGTGCTTGGCAGCTTCAGATAGATGCAGAAGGACATCTTCACTGGGCAAGCTCGGGGCCCTGGCCGTCTTCAACGCCCTCTACGGAATCAAGCAGCATATTTCTAAAAAAGTCTGCATTTTTGTCTAGTGATGGAAGCTCTCTGTTCTTCACTGCATCAGACGGTTGGCTAGCAGAATTATGGTCCCTCAATCCTGTAAGGTACGCTACCAGGACTGATATTTGCGTTTTTGATTTTTGATTTTGTAACTTTCAATATAGGTGGACAAACCATGGTCATCCTCGTGGGGGAGATGTAGGCCATGTAGTCGATGCTGGAGGTTTTAGAGCCGGGGTAATTTTTACTGTCAGGTAGCCAGATATTTGTCGGTTTCAGATGAAACAGGTTTTCCGTTTCAGCACAAATGGCGACCTCTATGAATACGATGCAAACGCGAAGCCCGCTTGGAGAAAGCACATTCGAGACGGCTCATCTGTTGAAGACTACGAGTTGGCACCCGTAAGTGGATTTTCAGCTCGTGATTTTGCAGGGAGCCGCACTTTCTCTATTTTTCTCTTGACAAAGGTATATAGACGCTAAACCTCGATTATTTCGCTGAAAACTGAGATCATTCTTTTGCAGAACGGACTTTTGGTGGAAAGACGACTTGCTCAAGCAAAATGGCGCTGGGTGCTGCATGCAAAGCCGCCGAATGCTCGCCTAAGCTTGTCTCTAGGGCCTGTGTTTACTGTGAAGAATGGAAACACCAAGAATCTCTCGTTCTTTTTAGTGTCGGAGCATGGTGTGGTCTACGAGTACAACCTGCCGTTCCTACACGGTACAAGGTTCTTTTCCAGGACTCTTATTTCATTCTTTGAGTTTTGAACTTCGAAAGAACATTGCAGGAAATATAAAAAGCACCACCGGCGCTCTGCAGAACGGAACATGGACAGATCACGGTCGGCCAGCCGATGCACCCGTGATGGTTTCAGTTCCCGGCGTAGCTTTGAGCCTGGAGAGGATCTTCTTTACACTTCAAGATGGACGGCTTGGTGAGTTACATCTAGACGGCTTTGGAGGTACCAGTGTAGGACCGATATCCCGTTCGAGCTTGGCGAAAAAACGGGATGGAGGCTACGTATGGTCGGTGTTTGAGGCCCCGGAGAGTGAGGGTGGGAACTCCGACTACTGCTCGACGTCACTTGGACCTTCAAACTGCTTGGAAGGCATTATGGACAGAAGTAGTGACTTCACAGGTGATCACAGGGAGCAGCAGCAGGGTATTTTTCATGGTGGTTCTACGGTACAGGAATGGTTTCGAATAGGAAAAGGTGGTGACCTCTTCCGGGCAAGGGCACTTCTTTTCGGAAAGTCCATCTTTTTCGTTGGACGAGATGGTGCGGCAGCAGAGCGGTTCTTCAACGGCAAGGTCTGGCTGTGGCTGCGGCACGACTTTGCCTTCCAGATTCGTGCGGTATTGGGAGTTTACAATGCCAGCGTTTTTGTGACGGACTTCCATGGAAGCTTGCTTATGCGAGAGTGGAATGGCAACGCTTTACAGTGGCTCAATTGCTCGGCTCTCGTGGGGGGCTCGACAGTTATCTCTGGTAGTCCCTGGGACGGCCATTTCGGCGACGTAAGAACAGATGCGCAGTTTTATATTTCTCCCGGTGGAGACTTGCTCGAATTCATCGTAAGCACGTATTTCTCAAGCTTTAGTGCGTGCGTTAACAGTTTGTTTCCAGGTAGCGTTTCGAGCTTTTAGCTGGAAGAATTGCGGTCACCCTCCAGATACTCCGGTTGCTGCAATTGTCGACCAGGAGGTCTTCAGATACCGAGTCATTTTTGTGATTGGCACAAACGGGAAGCTGTACCAGTTCAATCGGGTAACAAGCTTCTGGCACACTTACCAGCAGCAGCCTACACAGCTCCGGCTTTCACCGATTCCAGGCGTGGTTTACAGGCCCAGCTTCCTCAGCACCTCCGGATCCCTGTTCATGCGCTCCGAGAATGGAAACTTGGTGGAGTTCGGCTGGGATTCAGCAAATGGATGGTTTTGGTCAGATCACGGCACTCCAGCACCAAACAGCTACGTCGCAACCTCACCCGGCCCGTGCATGGACGAAGATGGCAGCGTTTTCGTGGTTTCTTCGACTGGAAGAGTGCACGCAAGGCAGCTTTCTGGTGGAAAATGGAGATGGCGGGACTTTGGGCATCCTCTTGCGGGTGAAAGTGACGAGAAGAGGCATGTCTTCGTGGTGGAAGATTCAAAGACAGGGAATGCGGCTGACTTACTGGTTTCGTTTGAGGGCGAGTGCGATACTACGGTAAGCTGATCGATCTCGCTCCACTCTACAAGGAATTCCTTGCTCTTTTCTTTTGCAGATCGATTCGGTGCGTCCGGTGGCCTCGAGCAAAGACACGGTAGCGTTCGTCTTGAGAGATGGCAGAGTACGTGTTTTTCTTGAAGTTTTCTGGGGGAGATGATCGAGATGTTTGTGTGATCTTTGCAGCTAGCGGAGCTCAAGCGAGACGGAGATGGATCCAACTGGGAATGGGTGTCGATCGTGGACACCCCAGCTTCGTCCTGTCTCTCAAGCTACTGGACACAAGACTCGTGAGATCCAAAGTAAAGATCTTCGCGATAGCTCTAAGAACGAAGCAAGTAACTCACTTGTTCTTCGCGATAGCTCTAAGAACGAAGCAAGTAACTCACTTGCTCTTTCAATGGATCTCTAGTTTACAGTTTTAGGGTTTATGGGAATGGAGGAGGAGGAGCAAGTGATTGGCGATTTCAATCGATGGCGGCAGCGGCCAGAGCTGGCGGAGGCGGTGGCGGCGATCAAGGCGCTCACGGCGGTCATCCAGCGCAGCCAAGCCAGCACCATGATGGGCCTCGAGATCGAGCTCAAGAACGCCTCCGAGATGCTCAAGGTTTTCTTGCTTCCTCCCGCGTAGCTCACTTCACTTAGCTGGATCTTCACTCCAGGCGTGGGACAGGAGCTCGATCTCCTTGTCCGCCGGCTGCGATCTCTTCATGCGCTACGTGACGAGAACCTCGGCGCTCGAGTACGAGGATATCAATGCCGGCAAGTCGCGATTGATTGAGCGGGGCGAAAGATTTGGCGACATTTCTCTCAAGGTTTGTCAGTGCATTGGTTGCATCTGTGCTGTGAACGATCGATCAAGCGAGCTCACAGTTGCAATGCAGGCTCGCGAGACGATCGCTCTTCTTGGCCAGGATTTCGTCCAAGATGGTTGCTGCATCCTCGTCCATGGATCGTCTCGCGTCGTCCTCGCGCTCCTCAAGCTCGCTGCTAACAACGGCAAGAACTTCACAGTCATAGTCACAGGTAGTGTTTCTTTTCTTCCCAGGAGTTCCTAGTTCTTTCGACAACTACTTTAGATTCTATAAGTACTATAGATCTTTCGGATGGTTCTTCCATAAGCTAGTGTGTTCTTCCGAGAACATTGGAGGAATTCTAAAGGGCTCTTGTGCTTTTGTTGTAGAAGGCGGGCCAAAGAAGACTGGCATGGAGGTCTCGAAGAAACTTAGCGCCGCCGGGATCCCAGTGACCGTGATCGTCGACTCGGCGGTGGCTTACACCATGGACAGAGTGGACATGGTGCTGGTCGGAGCCGATGGCGTAGTGGAAAGCGGTGGGATCATCAACGTCATCGGGACTTTCCAAGTCGCCTTGATCGCTCACAGCATGAAACGTCCATTCTACGTCGCTGCCGAGAGCTTCAAGGTAAAGAGCAAAGCTCTCTTTCCCTTCACTGAGTGAGTTTCTTGCAGTTTGCGCGGCTCTATCCTCTGGATCAACAGGATCTATCAATCTCCACGGGCCAGGAAGAATCGAGTAACCCGGCCAGAGACTACACCCCTCCTCACTACTTGACGCTGCTCTTCACGGATCTGGGAGTGTTGACGCCATCGGCTGTAAGCGACGAGCTCATCCAGCTCTATCTCTAAGGATCCAAGCTCGTCTCGTTCTTGGGCGATTTCCTCTCGATCCCCCAGACAAGGAAGCTATGGAACTCGATCGAGACGAAAGAGCTCTCATACTTGATCGAAGAACTTTGGAAACTCTAAAGGCTTCCAAGCAAAAAATTTCCATTTTGTAAAGATGAAAGATGGTCTAAATTTGGAAGTTTTTATACTTTCTTTTTGCCATGAAATATTCCAGAATGGAAGGGGAGAAAGAGGTGGAGAATTAGGGTTCTTGGGCTGGGCGATGAACTGGGTAAGCGGACTGCTGTATGGCGCGGGGGGCGTGGTGTGTACCTGCGTCGTACTGCTCGTCGTCTTCCAGGAGAGGCTCGTCTACGTCCCAGTCATCCCCGGCCTGTCCAAGGGCTATCCAATCACTCCCGCGCGCCTCAATCTCGCCTACGAGGACATCTGGCTCACATCGCTGGATGGGATCCGCCTCCACAGCTGGTTCGTCAAGCTCTCGAATCCATCTCTCAGCCTCAAAGGTAGGAGATCGATCGATCGATCGAGAAATGGAGAGATTTGGATATTTCGGTGGAGTTTTAATGTTCTTTGTCTTGGCAGCTCCGACTGTGCTCTTCTTCCAGGAGAATGCCGGAAGTATGAAAGCATTTTCTTTCTCCTTCGTTTGAGTTCTTTCTTTGTTCTTCGTTTTTTTTTTTTGGTTTTTTTCCTTTCCCCTTGTGCTTAGTTTTGGTGCCTTTGGAATTTTCTTGCAAGCAGACATTGCTCACAGGCTTGAGTTCGTCCAAGTGATGATGGCTCGACTGAAATGCAACGTTTTCATGCTCTCTTATCGGGGGTGAGTTCTTCCTCTCTTTCTTTTTCTCGTTTCTATGATGTTGGTTTTGACAAGCTTTTGTGATGATCAGCTATGGCGCAAGCGATGGACGGCCAACGCAAAAGGGAATCGTGCTGGATGCTCAGGTAAACAAACACCAAGCACAGTTCACTCCAACACAAAAGCGGCATTCTCTTTTCCAGGCAGCGCTGGACTATCTTTTGCAGAGAAAAGACATTGATACGTCGAGAATCGTCGTGTTTGGGAGATCGCTGGGAGGGGCCGTCGGTGCCGCACTCGTGAAGAACAATCCCGGCAAAGTAAGTGTTGCTTTTTTTTTCCTCGATGATTTAGCCGAGATTCTGAACAGGTCTCCGCCTTGATCCTCGAGAACACTTTCACGTCCGTGCTGGACATGGCCGGGATTCTACTTCCAGCGCTCAAGTGGGTCATCGGTGGCACGGAAGCCAAGGGCATCAAGCTCATGAATTGTCTGGTGCGATCGCCATGGAACACTTACGAGCTCGTCAGCAAGGTTGGTTTATTCTATCTATCGCGTAAATCTTTCTCTGTTTGCTCACTTGGTTCTTCCAGATCCGTGAGCCTCTCTTATTCCTGTCCGGCTTGCGAGACGAGATGGTTCCGCCGCTACACATGAGGCAGCTCTTCGACGCTGCTCGTCACAACGACAAGCGCGTGTTCGTGGACTTCCCAACTGGAATGCATATGGATACGTGGTTGAGAGGCGGCGATCGCTACTGGAGGGTGATCCAGCTCTTTCTCGAGCAATACACATCGGGTACTTCTAGCGTTTCTACGTGAACTTAGCTTCTAAGATCGATCGCTCTTTCCTTACTCGCAAGAAGTTCGTTCCACTACGAGAACTTGCAAAGTTTTCTCTCGGTTGTAGGCTACAAGAGAAGTATAATGATCGAAGAACTTTGGATGATCGTAAAAGTCTTAAAGAGAAGAAGAGAGCTTGGAGCTATGGAGCTTTCGAAAAAGCTTGAAGAGGTTGTAGCTATGGAGTTTTGGAGGAGAAGGAAAGGAGGAGGGTGATGGTGGAGCTATGGACGCAAGTACTAAGGAATTGCCGGTCGGGAGCACAGCGTGTGGTTCTAAATGGAACCGAGCAAACGATGGCTATGGAAGAACTGGAAAGATCTTCCAGAGTGAGCGCTGCCACTTACGCTTCCTTGCTCAAGCAATGCATTGCTCGCAAGGCGCTTGGCCATGGCAGGCAAATCCACGCTCACATCCTCGCCGCCAAAGAGAAGGATCCTCGCGCCGCGCCCACCGCGCCCTTCTTGGGCAATCTTCTCCTCCAGCTCTACGCTCGCTGCGGCGACCTCGATCGCGCGCGATCGATCTTCGATGGCCTCGCCCACCGCAATCTCTTCTCGTGGACGACCATGATGGGCGGCTACGTCCAGCGCGGGCGATTCGATCGCGCGCTGGATCTCTACCACTGCCTCGAGAAGAGAGAAGAGCCCTCCTATCGATCGATCGAACCGGATGCTTTCGTCTACACGATTGCGCTGGCGGCGTGCTCGAGCTTGGGGGATTTGGCCAGCGGGCGGGCAATCCACGCGCGCTGCCACGATCGATCGATCCGGGATGTGATCCTTGACACCGCGATCATCAACATGTATGCCAAGTGTGGCTGCGTTGGAGAGGCAAAGATCGTCTTTGATTCGATGCGCCAGAGAGATTCCATCGCTTGGAACGCGATGATCGCAGCATTTGCCCAGAATGGGCATTTGCGCGAGGCGATCTTGCTCTATCTGGAGATGACCGCGCAAGGGCTGGATCCCAGCGAGGCGACGTTTGTGAGTGTTCTTGGCGCTTGTTCTTCCCTCTCTCTCGTTCGATCCATCCACTTGCGATTCCTTGAGAGTGGGATCCAGTCCAGCGATGCCACCACTTCCCTCATAGCGGCATTTGGGCGGTGCCAGAGCCTGGACGAAGCAAGGCTCGTGTTTGATCGAGCGCCGCGGTGCTCCATCACGATCTTCGCGTGGACGGCGATCATCGCGGCCTACACGCATCACGGGCGTTGCAAGGAAGCGCTGGAGCTCTTCCAATCGCTGCTCCTCTCGATCGATAGCCACGGCCGCGAGGATCTCGAGCCCGATGGCTACACTTACTCGATCGTGCTCATGGCGTGTGCCAACACCGGAGCGATCGATCAGGGCAGGGCTATCCACGCGAGGATCCTCGCGAGAAAGAAGCGCAGTGGATCATCGATGATGGAGAGCTCCGTGCTGGGATCGCTCATCAGCATGTACTCCAAGTGTGGATCCCTGGACGAGGCGAGAGAAGCCTTCGATCGCGCCGAGGAGCAATCGCGATCCGCGGTGGTGTGGAACGCGATGATCGCTGGCTACGTCCAGCACGAGCGCGCCCAAGACGCGATCGAGCTCTACCGCGCGATGGCGAGTCAAACCTCGCCCCCGATCGAGACCACGGCCTTCACGCTCTCGATCCTCTTGGGCGCGTGCGCGAGCTTGGAATCGCTGGATCGCGGGCGAGAGATCCACGCCACGATCATCGATCGAGGGATGGAATCCGACACCGTGCTGCTGAATTCTCTGGTGAGGATGTACTCCAAATGCGGTAGCCTGCTCGATGCGATGCGCGTCTTCCAGAGCGCACTCCAAGATCGCGATCGCGGCGGCGGCGGATCCATCGACGCCATCACCTGGAACGCGATCATCGTCGCCTCTGCTCGCTCCAGCGCCGGCAACCTCTCGATCCACCTCTTCCACGAGATGCTCCTCCACGGCTTCGATCCAAACGGGATCACACTCACGGCCGTGCTCACGGCGTGCGGCCACGCGGGGATGATCGAGAGCTTCCACAGCTACTTCGCTCTCGTGGTGGGCGATTGCAGAGTGGTTCCCGGGATCGAGCATTACGAATGCATGGCGGATCTGCTGGGTCGATCTGGGAGGATTGGGGATGTCCAGGAGCTCCTCCAGGCAATGCCATTCTTCCCAAACGCAGCGTCCTGGAGGAGCTTGCTGGGCGCGTGTAGAGTTCACAGTAGTGGTGTGGAGATTGCTGGAGTGGCGGCTGGGGAGGTGGCTGTGATCGAGCCCAGCGATCACACGGCATATGTGATGCTCTCCAATGTCTATACCATTAACAACAGTTAGATCACATATATTATTATTACCTTTGTGGACAAGAACCTCTTACCTGTGATAAAGTAAGTATATATTGAGCTGGGATCTTATGCTTCTAGATGGCACCACAAAATTTAATATAAATCATATGCATTTTCAAAGGATGACATTGTTTGTTTTCAAAAGCATCGATTTAAATTAATAAATTATTAAAAAATTTATTTTTAACAGTATAAGTGCAGGAATACAGAAATATACATATAAATTAATTCAAAAATCTTAACTTGATTTCTCACGAGAAGAAAGTTTCCAAGGATAACAAATGGTCTAGATTGAAACTAATCCAACGGCTACCAAAATCCCACTATAGACTTCACAACAATATTATTTATCTTTCTGAGAACATCTACATTTAACATAACAAAAATGAGGGGGAAAATTATATTCCCTTTTGAACGTTCCAAGATTTCGAATTATGTTGTTCCTGCTGAGATATTGTGATCTAGAGTTGCAAGCTGGAAAGTGAAATATAACACTTATAAACACTGAAACAATCAATCCTTTCTAGCTAACAGTGTTCTTCACATATTTGTGGAAGTCTACCCGTGAGCCAGGTCGAGTGGAGCGCACAACTCGGCCCAATTTTATGACATGGAGCGACTATAGCAATGGACTATGTCATTCATTCTGTAGCTAAGGTGTGCCTGGAAGAAGTAGAAGAAAACTCAAGCTTTGTTTTAGTTTAGCGCACATATAAAGGCATAGTACCTTGACTTGAGCTAGTCAGTCCATTCTTCTCCGTGTCTTCTCACAAGTCAGGAGCATGGCAACTTTCTTGTGCTGGATGTACTCCATTTCCTCTCTTTTGCTGTGCGCAAGTTGCAAAGGCCATGTATGCATATCAGCAAATCCCTGAGAAAACTGGAAAGGCTTACAGTGGAGGAGGGAGGAATGTCGTCAATCTGGTCGTGCTTCAGCAGCAGCAGCAGCAGGAGCAGCAGCAAGAGCAGCAGTAGCAAGAAGAAGAAGCGGTCCAGGAACGGCCTGCCGACGATGAGTAAAGGTTCGGATAAATTCGCACACGCTCCAGCATCGAAATTCGACGTCGTAGCCGAGCAGGCGAGCGTGACAGTCCCTAGCACTGCGAGATCGCTTCCCTTTGCAGCAGACAATCCCATTGCCAAGTCCTCCTCGGCCAGATTTTCAGTTCCAGTCCTCATCAGCTCGGACAAGTCAGAATCTGATCTGAGCATTGTCGAGCAAGCTGCTCTCGCCGACGATTTTCTCATCGAATCCTGGAGGCCAAGCAGCAGCAGCAGCAGCAGCAGGAACACGACGATGCTTCTTGTCTCCGTGGCCCTGTGGAAGGCTGCTGCAGTTAAGTCCATTGCTTCCTTGACGTGGGCTGCAGTCTCTACAGCATCATCATCGGCACCATCATTGAGGAAGAAGACCGAGCAACTCGGTCCTGTTTCTTCACTCGTTCTCGCGGCAGACTCTTCCGCTTCGACTTCTCAGCTCCCTGATCCTTTAACTTCGAAGTCGTCAATGAGCCCCGGTACACTTCCTCCAGTTCTTGAGCCAGGAGATCAGTCCTATAGCACCCCTGCCTCCCCGAGCCGTCCCTCCAGGAATAGAAGAAACCTTTCTCCGGAAGATCGCCCCGACAATAAGAAGCTTCTCAGGTGTCACACCGTGATCGGGACCGTCCAAGCCACCAACACGAGGCTCCAAGCGACAGCGCTGGGACGAGATGGAAAAGGTTGCAACTTGACCATACTTGTTGCGGTACTTCTTGTTGTCCAGGCAGCTCTTTTGGCAGGACAGGTCCAGGCTATAGTCATCACGAGCTGCTTTTGGTTCCTGCTCCCCCGGATAAGTATGCGTCGGAAATCTGAGACAGCCGCTGGTGTTGTGGAGGATCCTCCGGGTCCTTCTGCCCCCGTTTCCGAGGTCGAAGCTGGTAGTTCCCATGGCCAGACCGTCCCGAGGTCTCGGTCAAGCTCTACCGGCGAGCTCCACGACTATTCGTCTACTGAATACCGGAAGAAGGTGATAATCCAAGGTCTTCTTCAAAGGCCGGGACAGACCAGGCATTGACTTTGCTGTTGACAAGTCCATTCAAATACTCGTCCAGAAGCTCTGCTACATGTCGCCACTCTGTAAGAGAAGCGCAGTTACAAATCCGGATGTGAAGTACCAGAGGAACAAACCTTGATGTCCACAGAATGGCCACTCATTAGAGGAATAAAAGCACCTACTGTGCCTTTTTCCACCTCCGCTCGATGCCATCCATATGAGCCATGCCCACAACGCCCACAACTTTCCCCTCGCAAGTCAAAAGTTGCCGTGTCATATATTCGTCCCGCTCGTGAAGCATGACTCTAACCTGTAAAAAGCCAGAGATTACCGTGAAGTATGAAACCTCGAGACGAAACTTACAGCACTTGGAAAGGTCCTGTCCATGAAGCTCGTCAGCTTTCGAACTGCATCTCTTCGCTTTAGCTTTTCAATGCTCTCGATCAGGTTTCCGCTGCTCAGTCCTTCCACAATCTGCTCCATGTCCGCCCCGGCAATCCCAAGCAAGTTTATGACATCCCGTATCCTGATCGCCTTTGTAAGCTTTGAAATAGTCACCTGCAGAAACAAAGCGAAAGGTCCTTGTCAGCCGCTTGACAAAATCACAGGAAACAAAAATATATAAGAAGAATCAATATCTTACAGTATGCGCATGATCTTAAAGGTCTTACATCATATCTTTGATCTATGAGCAAAATGCCAGCTCGTCTCGCCTTAGCCTCCTCCATGGCTACCTGATGTTAAGATCAAATGCTACAAACTTGTAGCCACCAAGAAAAAAAAATGGAGGAGAATCACCTTAAACTCCTTGCCAGGTTCTAGACCAGCCTCGCGCATCGCCTGATAAGATGCGCTCAATGCCAAATGGACTACTTTCTGCTTCAATCCTCCCGGAAACTTCATGAATTCCTGGACTTTCTGGAACAAGCTAGTATCATGGTACCCAGCTAGTAGCTTCTTGGCTCTTTCTTCACACAGTTCCACCTAGAAAACAAAAAAAAAAAAGAACTAGAGCTCTAGCATCGAAAGATTATTTACCGCGACGATGTCAGGCTTGACGATTCCAATCACCTACGAAGAAGAAAAGTAAGAATCCTCTCGAGGAAGGACAAATCCCTACCTCTTCCACTTCCTCGGCGCTCTTGGCTGAAACGTGTGCGGTGCCCACCAGGAAAATCTCCGCTCCATTGCTGCTATTCTTGAGATGCGCGATCCTTCCCATCGCGATAAATTGCTTGATCACGTCGGCGCGCCTGGCCCATCCCGCCATCGCCGAGAAAACTAGGGGAAAGTAATCTGTGCCAGAAGCTTCATCGCCGAGAAGAACACTAGTAGGGCAAAGTAATTTATGCCACAAGGGCAAAGTAATCTGTGCCATAGGGCAGACGTGGCACCTACATTCCATGAAAAGCATCCCCTGGAAAGCATCTCGGAAAGATTCCAATTGGGTAGGGCAGAAGGAAGCAGGGATGTGGAGGGCTATGGCCGCTGGTGGCGCGCTGCGAAGAGCGCTAGGCAGCTCGCGGCTGCGCGGCGGTGGCGCCGCTCACGCCGAGAAGAGCGAATGGGAATCGATCAAGGAATGGTGGGGGCCGGGGGATCGCGAGCCGTGTGGGCGGCTCTTCAACGAGACGCCGCCGCCGCCGGGGCAGCGGCGCAAATGGGAGGATTGGGAGTTTCCCTATTACACCGCCTGGACGATCGCGATTATCATGCTCACGGTTGGGCTTAGCTCCAAGCCCGACACTCGGATCGATCACTGGGCGCGCAGGCAGGCGATTATCCGCATGCGCAAGGAGGGATTTGTGGAGCCCGAGTTTCTGGACAAGCTGGAGAACGATCTCAAGCGCCACTAACAGCTCCCGAGTGGTACGTTTGCTCGAATAAAGAGAGGGGACCGCGTGGGAGAGGAAAAAACCAGTTTTTCTTCCTGGAAAATATAATGCAGACAAAGACATCGCTTGAGATTTCTCTTACGGGATTTTTTCGTAGCCATCGCAAATCGTTCGTCGAGTTTTCAATCGTTGTTTATCGCCTGCGAACCGCGGCTGGAGCTCGGGCTTGCTGGCCTCCTCCGGCTGGAGCTCCGGGTTCTTCTTGCATGTTTGCTACTTGGGTGATTGCATTCATCACGATCAGTCCGAGCGGAATGATGTACATCCACTGTCACAAGCAAAAGAGTGTGAGCTGAATCTCGACAAGAGTGTGGCTTTTCACAATCAAAGGTGGAGACTCACGTATTTCGCCCAGAATGATTTCTCAGGTGGTGGTTTCTTTATTGCTGCCATGGCTTCGTCGCCAAGAGTGTCGTCCGCGGTGCTGCCAAGGCCAAAATCGTTGAAAAGAACAGTTTTGGCTTGCTCCCCACCCTTGGAGACGATATGAGTGTCAAACGTCCATGACGCAGGCTGGAAAATGACCAAAAGACAAACTCATTCAAACTTCTCCACTCTCGATAAAGTTTTCGACAATGACTTACGTGTTTGAGCTCCCTGGGGTAAGGACAATTGGCACCGGCGCTGTAGCCTACGGCAATTATGTTTCCTTGATCCTGGAGAGAGATAACTTCCATCAGTTTCAAGCACAAGCGAAGAAAAAGAAAAAGTTTTGCTCACCATGTGAATGTCGAGATGCTCCTTCAAGTTTGCAATGGCCAGGCATCTCTGCCATAAACTTGTACTCGTAAGAATAAAAAAGAAAGTTTTATAAGATCAAAACTTACAGCTTTGATCGAAGAGATGACAAACGGTGCCCCGGGACTGAGAGGATTAGCGGGAACACGGATGGTGTAAAAACCATCCTCCTTCAAGAGTTCCTACAAGCAAAAGAAAGAAACTTCTTTCTCATGCCAAGAACCGGAAACAAAACTATTACCTCGAATGCTTGTCTTTCAGCTCCCGACAAAGGAAGCCTGGAGAGACGAAGCTTGCCAAGAGCCTGGAATCATAAAAAAAAATCAGCAAGCAAAAACAATTTAAACATTTTCTCACTTGACCACCACGAAAAGAAGGCCGCAGACGAGCTGTGAAAACCCCAGCACGAGTAAACTCCGATCCTCCAAATGCGTGCTCTAGCGGAAATTGTACCTTGTTGGATTCCGGCGACGAAGAAGCCTCAGGCGCCGCTGGCTTCTTCCTGGCTAGGTCAGATTGAGGAGCAGGAGGAGGCGACGACGCCGGCGACGATCCCACAAATCCCCATTCTTCATCGTCTAGCTCATCCCACTGGAATCCCGAGCTAGCCGTTGCGATCGCGAGCAGCGTCGCGAAGAACGCGATCGTCGGCGCCAATCTCCGCATCGGAAATATTTGCCCTAGAGCCTCTCCGTACAAATTTGTACAACAGGAAGTATCTTTAGTACGGAATAAAGTATAGCCACCACGTCACCGCCTTTTCCGGAGGATATCCTTTTACTGGGTATTCCAATATACCTTCACGTCGAAGAAATCTACTTTACCTAATTTGTGTTTGTGTGTTCATCCGGAGAAGGCGCTGTTGCCGTAGAGGAGAAATCGATCCGCGCCCAGGGAATCGCTGTCTCATGCCTTCTTTGCTGCCAATTCTCTCCTACGACGTTCCGATTCAAGGTAAGGCTCGAGAATTTCTTCGTGATTCTGTGCTTAGGGTTTGATTCCAGGGGAAATCCCTCCTCTAGCGTCCAATGAGAGCTCCTCCATCGTCTTCCGCGGCGAGCAGCACAGCAGCAGCAGTAGCAGCGTGTTGAAGAAGCACACCACAGTCTGCCGGGAGCTCCCGGAGAAGAAGAAGAAGCATGTCAAGGCCGCCCAGGGCGGTGTGAAGAGCCACGGCGAGGGATCGGGCGGCCATAGCCATCCTCTCGCAGAATCGGTGGTGTCGGACAGTGGCGATGCCGGCGAGGGCGTCGCCAAGGCCCAGGCGGTGGCCGAGGCCGTCAAGGTTATGAAGAAGGCGGTGTTTGCGATCCAAATGGCCCTCTACAATGGCCTGAGGAGCGATTTCCAGCTCAAAGCCGCGACTTGCCTTCTCACTCAGAGCGAGTACGCGGACGTGGTTACCGAGCGAAGCAACGACAAGCAATGTGGATTCCCGCTGTGTCCAAACTCGCTCAAGGTGGAGAAGGCGAGAAAGGGGCGGTACCACATATCACTTCGCGAGCACAAAGTCTACGACCTGGAAGAGACCCGAGCGTTTTGCTCCACCGGGTGTGCCGTGAGCAGCAAGACTTATGCGGCGAGTCTTCCGTCCAACCATGAAGGGATCATGGAGCACCAGAAGCTGGAGGAGATCATAGCGTGCGTTCGTGGTCTTAGCTTAGCCACCACCGCCACCACCGCCACCACTACGATTCCCGCCGCCGCTAGTGCGGGTAAGATGAGTGCCTCGGCCCAAGACAGCGACGGAGTGGTGGTCCGGGAACGCACCGACTGTGAGCCCGGTGACCTCGAGTTCCAGCTCTCTCGTTCCGCCTCCATCGAAGGATATGTTCCACGGGCTAAGCCGCAAGTTCAGATAAACGACTCATCCAAGCCTTTGAAGTCCGCTATGAAGCAGTCGCCACGAAAGAATCAGCGCATCACTTGGGCCGATGAGATCCCGGCAGCGGTGGCTCAGCCAGATGTGGACGATAGCTTTACGTTCTCGACAACCGTCACGGTGACGAGCGAGGGAGAACGACTTGGAGCTGCACAGGTTGTAGCTGACGCCTTGGCTCAAGCCGCCAATGTTTCATCGCTGGGGGAAGTCGAGCCTTGCAAGGCTGGTACGTCCAGATTATAGACTGATTACTCAGTGGCTTGTTCTACCATTACAGCTGCAACTGCGGGGCTAGAGATCGTCTCCCCCTATGAGAAAGTCCCCGAGACGTTCGAGTTCGATGCAACCAAGGATGCCAAAGAAGAAGAAGACGAAGAAGAAAGGGAGGATTTGATCAGCCGGTCTTCTTGGTATAGTGCACCTCCAAAACCGTACAAAGCGGAGGTTTGTGTAGATGCTCGCGTCCTCTTTTCTTTCCCTCATCCAATCTCTAACTAGTCGCTTTTCAGGTGTCGCCCTTTGGGCTGCTCTGGATGGCTTTAGATGAATGGGTGTCGAGCGGCACGCTGGCTCACATCTATGGAAGAGATGACGAAGAGTTTCGTGACGTGAACGGTAGAGTACCCGTGGATGGTGATGGTTCTTCATCACCGGACATACTGAGAACTATATCGAGCTGTGTGAGCAGGGTGCTTCCTGACGTTGTCCAGGCTCTGGCGATCGCTGAACCTCTCTCTGTCATCGAACGGGCTGTAGTACGTGCTTGAAGTTTTTCGTATGTTGTCATGGAGTTTTTCCAGTCCATTTTTCTTCCGCTTGATCCTTATGGAGCTCACTAACGCTTGTTTGCTGTAAACACACCATTCCAGGGACGCTTGCTGGGGACGATGCATTTCTCCCAGGCGCTTCCAGCGTTCACGACCAAGCACTGGCGGATGATCGCGGCGCTCTTCCTGGACGCGCTCTCGGTGCATAGACTGCCCGGCTTGGGTAGTCAGATGACCAACAATCGAGCTCTTCTACGAAAGGTACTTAATGATCTTTGTCAAGTTCTTCGAAGAGTTCTTCATATCTTCTCTATTGTTCTTGGCAGCTTATCATCGATTCTGGAATGAATGATCCAGAGTACGAAAGTTTTAAGGAGCTTTTACTTCCTTTGGGCCGATTGCCAGCCTTTGCGAGCGGCGGGGGAGGCTAAAGAAAGAATAATCTGCTACTTGCTTAAAAGATTCCCGGACCATGTACTTAAAAAGTGTGTATATATAAAATCTCGTTTACTTGGGACAAAAATTTTCCCTCGCTTTAGCTTTAGGGCTTTAGAGTCACGCTAGGGTTCTTGAGGAGGTCCCTTGCGGTGGCGCTCCAGCGGGGGAATCTCGATGCCGTCGCTCGTCGCAAATGGGAAAATCCACCGGATCGAGGTTGAGAATTTCAAGTCTTACAAGGGACACCAGGTGATCGGCCCGTTCAAGAATTTCACTGCAATTATCGGTCCCAATGGCGCTGGGAAGTCGAATCTCATGGACGCTATCAGCTTCGTGCTGGGCGTCCGATCAATGCAGCTGCGAGGAGCGCAGCTCAAGGATTTGATCTACGCCTTTGATGACAAGGACCGAGAGCAGAGGGGCCGGAAAGCTTTTGTGAAGCTTATTTACTTGCAAGGAAATGGAGAAGAGCTCGAGTTCACAAGGGCGATCACTGCTGCTGGGAGTAGCGAGTACCGCATTGACAACAGTGTGGTGACTTGGGAAGAGTATAACAACAAGATGAAGACGCTGGGGATCCTTGTCAAAGCTCGAAACTTCTTGGTCTTTCAGGTGAGTCCACCGCTCTAAGAATCGTTCTTTTCTTAACTGGGTCTTGTTCTGACAGGGTGATGTGGAATCCATCGCTTCTAAAAATCCCAAGGAACTTACGTCTCTCTTCGAGCAAATCTCTGGCTCGGAGGAGCTCAAGAAAGACTACGAAGAATTGGAAGAGCAGAAGACTCGGGCCGAGGAGAAATCGGTGTTCACTTACCAGAAGAAACGGACAGTAGGAGCGGAAAGAAAGCAAAAAAAGGAACAAAAAGAAGAAGCTGAGAAGCATCTTCGCTTGCAGTCCGAATTGGTACGTTTTAACTCTCAAGCGTTGATTCGCTAAAATCTTTCTTGCTTCTGCTGTTTCATGCAGAAAACGTTGAAGACGGAATACTACCTCTGGCAGATGTTTAATATAGAGAAAGATGTCGAACGGACCCAGGAGGAACTTGATGCTGAGAAGGAGAAGCTAGAGGAAGTACTGAAGGATCAAGAAAACGCAGAAAGCGGAGTGAGGGAGAAAAAGAAGGCCCAGGCCACGCTCACCAAGGAAGCGTTGCTCTTGGAGAAGAAAATGACGAAGAAAAAGACGGAACTAGACAAAAAGGCTAGTTGGAAAAACAAGTTTGTAATGCTTCCAGTGCTGACCAAATTTGTTAATTTTTCAGCATCCAGAGCGCCTGAAACTGAAGGAAGAAATGAATAGGATCGCTCAGAAAATCAAGTCGACAGAGAAGGACTTGGAGCGGAAGAAGGACGAGCAGAAGAAGCAGGGTAGAGAGATTGCCAAGCTGAATAAAGACCTTGAGGATGTTACTGCAACCTTGAACGACTTGAACGAGCAGGGTGCTGAAGGTTCTGGAAAACTGCAACTTGCTGAGAACCAGATCGAGGAGTATCACCGAATGTAAGTTTCTGGCTGTTTTGTTTATTTGTATACTGCATAATTCTTCGGTTTTTCTTGTCCAGAAAGGAGGAAGCTGGTACAAAAACAGTGAAGCTGAAGCTTGACAAGGAGGTTCATGATAGGGAACAACAAGCAGATTTAGAGGCTCAAAAGAACTGGGAAGAAAATCTTCAGCAACTTTCGAGTCGTGACCAGCAACTTGCCTCTGAAGGACAAGTCTTGGACGGTCGCATGAAACGGCTAATAGATTCCATTGAGAAGAACAAACAGGAGCATGCGCAGGTTGTGAAGGAACTTAGCCAGATGCAGGAAAAAAATCGAAAAGCCAGGTAACTGCCTTGTTTGCTTACTGTGTCTAAAGCCTGGCTGCATGCAGGACAAAGTATGACAACCTCAAGGTTAAAATTGACGAAGTTGAGGCGCAGCTACGGGAGTTGAAAGCCGATAAGCGCGAAAGCGAGCGTGATGCCAAACTTTCCGAGGCTGTCAGCAGTTTAAAGCGACTCTTTTCTGGTGTGCGCGGTCGAATGACCGACCTTTGCAGGCCTACGCAGAAGAAGTACAATCTTGCTGTGACCGTGGCGATGGGAAAATTTATGGACGCAGTTGTTGTGGAAGATGAGAGCACGGGAAAGGAATGCATCAAGGTATGATATTTTTATACGGTTCCATTTCTGACAAAGACCTTCGACAGTATTTGAAGGAGCAACGGTTGCCACCGCAGACTTTCATTCCCCTGCAATCTATTCGGGTAAAGCCAGTTCATGAAAAGCTTCGCGCTCTTGGGGGGACAGCGAAATTGATCTACGATGTCATCCAATATCCTTTATCGTGTTCTGTTTTTGCATTATTTTTTATACTCGTGGTTTCCTTAATAAGCACACATTTGACTCGTCACTTGAGAAGGCTGTTCTGTATGCGGTCGCGAACACCCTTGTCTGTGACAAACTAGATGAAGCTAAGGCGCTTTCTTGGGGTCAAGAACGCTACAAAGGTAAATAGCATTTTGCTCACACTTGACCCTTCTAATTTCACTCTGCTGTCTAGTGGTAACGCTGGATGGTATTTTGCTTTCAAAGGCGGGAACAATGACCGGCGGCATTACGGGTGGCATGGAGGCAAGGTCTCAAAAATGGGATGACCGCGCGATTGAGGGTATACAAAGTTCTACTTTGCCTCTTAAACCTGTGCTGTTTATCAGGACTGAAGGAGAAGAAAGACCGCTATGAGGCCGAGATGGCTCAGCATGGTTCGGTAAGGGAAATGCAAAGCAAGGAAGCTGAAGCAACCGCTAAGATCACTGGTTTTGAGAAAAAAATTCAGTTTGCGGATATAGAGAAGGTGGGAAATTCAGCTCTATGTTTGTCTATTAACCGAGGTTTGTCTTGCCCTTCTAGAAAAACTTGGAAGACAAAATCAAAAAGATTGCCCAGGAACGTGAAACGATCAGTAAAGAGGTTGATCGGATAAAGCCAGAACTTGAGAAGGTACAGCTGACAACTTGCCTACAAGTGAAGCTTACGTCTTTGTCCTGATACTAGTTGCGAAATGCGATCTCAAAGAGGGCAAAAACAATCGACAATTTGGAGAAACGAGTAAATGACATAACCGATAAAATATACAAAAGTTTTAGCGAATCCGTCGGTGTTGCAAACATCCGAGAGTACGAGGAAAATCAGCTGCGGCATGCTCAAGAGCTAGCTGAAAGAAGGCTAAGCTTGAGTAATCAAATATCAAAGCTGAAAAATCAGTAAGTACCGCTTAGATTCATGTGAGATTTTCTGAAGTTTCTTTTGGTGCAGGCTCGAGTATGAACGAAGACGTGATACTGAAAAACCTGTGAAGAAGTCAACTAACATGCTGTCCTCTTTACGTGACGAGCTTGTGAGAGTGCAAAAAGCAGAATCGGATTTGAAAGCAGCAATGGATCGCGAGGCTGAGCAGCTCGAAGCAATGAAAGCTGATCTCCAAGGTAAAGATGTGAAGCAAGGCTTCATCTGACATTTCTTTTTATTTTATCAGAATTGAAGGCCAAGGTGGACGACATTGAAAGCGAGATACAAGAAATGAAGAAGGGTAGCAGCGGTGCCACCGGAAATCTTGGCAAAATAAAGCGTCAAATCGCGGCTAAGGTAAGCTAGTACTACTTCAAGTTTGAAGCAATGTTTATTGGTTCTCCTGTCAGGAAAATCATATTGAACAGCTAATGTCACGGAAGCAAGAAGTTTTGGATAACTGTGAACTGGATCAAATCAGGCTTCCGGTAACGGATGGCATGGATATTGACGGTGCGGGATCTTCCCAACAGGCTGCTGCATCTTACGATTATTCGCAGCTATCCAGATCGCACCAGAAGGTTCGCTTCCTTTTCTTTTTATGCCAGTGATACCTGTTGCTCCGTGCATTAGGATCTGAGACCTGCTGAAAAGGAGAAGCTAGAGACGGAATTCAAGAGCAAGCTGGAGTCCATCACAGCAGAGATGGAAAGAACAGCACCAAATTTGAAAGCTCTCGATCAGTACGAGAGCTTGAAGGAAAAGGAGAAAGAGGCCGCTGAAGTGTACGAACAAGCCAGGAAGGAGGCCAAGACCGTAGTCGACAAGTATAACGCTGTAAAGCAGAAGAGGTACGTGTGATTGATAGCAACGAGTTTGTGTCTAACCGGATGGAATGCAGGTATGAAAGGTTCATGGATGCTTTCAACCATATCTCGACGAACATTAACACGATTTACAAGCAACTGACTCAAAGTAGCACACACCCGCTTGGCGGAACAGCGTACCTGAGCCTTGAGAACGAAGATGAACCGTTTCTACACGGGATAAAGTACACAGCAATGCCCCCAACGAAGAGGTTTCGGGACATGGAACAACTATCAGGGGGTGAGAAGACCGTGGCCGCTCTTGCTTTGCTGTTTGCAATCCACAGGTACGTGGTGGTGTGTGGTTTAGTTTTTATATTTTTCTAACATGGTGATCCGGATGTTTGCTCGCAGCTTCAGGCCATCACCGTTTTTTGTGCTGGATGAAGTGGATGCTGCGCTCGATAATCTGAACGTCGCGAAAGTGGCTGCTTACATCCGAGCAAAGTCCCGCGACGATGCTGGCGGGGGCGACGCGTCGGGGAAGGGGATTGGGTTCCAGAGCGTTGTCATTTCGCTCAAGGACACTTTCTATGACAAAGCCGACGCGCTGGTGGGAGTGTACAGGGACTCCGACATGAGGTACCTCTGCTGGTTTCTTGTGGTCTTTTGGATTTGACAAGGGATGTTTTTGCAGCTCCAAGACACTGACTTTCGACCTCACTAGATACAGCGAGTAGAAATCTGGCTGTACAGTTGTTTTGTAAGTTTTGCATTAAGCAGTAACGATCTAACGGCTTTCTCATTGGCCCAATTAAAGAAAGGAACGCAAAGATTTCCCCACTAGAGAGGAAATCCCCTCCCATATGATATGATCTTGCCCTGGCCCCAGTGATAAGCTCGTCAATATACCATTGGCGTGGTCGCGATCGTTGATGGCAACCTCATCATCACCTAATAGAATAAGAGTAGGCTAACCTGTGAAAGGCAAAGACAC